CTATTAACTATTAAATAATAAAAAATCTTTAAATGATTCTTGTAAACCCATATATATGAAATAGTTGGTATTTTATAAATTAATACAATTTAGATTAGAAAGCACCAGACTCTCCTAAACAGAAATAATTTTTAAAAATAAAAAATAATTAATTAAAATTTTATATAAATATAATATGTAAAATTTATATAAATTTCATTCCTATTAACTATTAAATAACAAAAAATCTTTAAATGATTCTTGTAAACCCATATATATGAAATAGTTGGTTTTTTATAAATTAATACAGTTTAGATTAGAAAGCACCATTCTCTCCTAAACAAAATAATTTTTTCTCTGTTTCTCCGTGCATTTTCTGAACAAACTAATTACGCCCATATTTAATTTAAGTGTCAATGGACTATTACTTCCAGAACAAAAGTTATATTTATATAATGGAACTTTTGTTTGAATAAAACAATTTTTTATTAATATAGTGGAACTTGATTTAAGAGTTGAATGATATATTTTGGATAGATAGGTGGAAATTTATTGGATAATGTAGAATGCATATCCAAATCAATGGCATTAAAAATTCAACTACCCCATAATACTACTAGGATTTTTGCAGTACCACTTACTTGAATGGGTTATTGTCATACATTTAATATGTTTTTTTCTAAACATTAAATGATAAGATATATATATGGATAACGATAAAGAGGATGATTTTATGGGATGAAAACGGAGTATAATAGGTGTTGCAAGGTCAAATTGATTATTTTGTATTATGCTCTTTGATTTTGCCACACTTATCGTCTTTCATTTTCGTCCCATAAAATCGTCCCCTCTATCATTATCCTATAATATATATATATTAAAAGATAATTCTTTCCTTTCTTTATTTTTTTTACTCATCTCATAGTTTAAATTTAAATTTTTTAATTTAAAATCTCAACTTCTTAATAACTTGAAATATCCCTTAAGAATTCATCCATTTAATAGTTAATATCACAGTTTTTAACCTTAGTTTACTATTATATTCTTACACTATTTTTTTTGCCTTGTCAAATAATCATAGTTGATAATCATAAATGAGTTTCTCAAATATTTGTTCAGCTAATTGAAGTATCCTTCCAAACACCTATTCAAGAGT